GTTGGAGGAACAGAAGTAATTGCTTCTAAGCATCCAGAAGGGATTGCCTTTTGTATGGATCTCTTGGCTAAGAAATTTGTTCTGCAAGGGGATCTAATGATATCTAGTAATCCAGAAGCAGCTTTTTGCTATGCAACAATAATACTTTCATTATGGAACCAATTTCCAGAATTTGGAAAGTTATTTTTGTTACATCTTCACAAAGAATGTATTTATTTAATTCCATTTTATCCTCCACGACTTGCAGACCAAACTGACGAAGACTACTATAAAAGTCTTGGCTACAATTATATTGATGGAGTTGTAGAAAAACAGGACAAATTTTTAAAAAGAATGATGGGCATTATGAGATTATATGCTGCAATTGTCATTTCAAAACCAAAAAGTGATCAGAAAATTAGTCCTCACAATATAGCTTATGGTTGGAGATGGTTTTCTGCTTTTTTAAATTTGGAACCACAAATTGACATAACTGCTACCATGATCCACATCTTTCTCGAAGTAGCTGGATCTACATTGCAACAAGTGTATGGAAAGCAATTTTATAAATTAATGAATTTCCTTTCCAAAGTTTACATGCCAATGCTAAAAAAATATGACTCTGGAGGGCCTTTTACCAGGCTTGAGGTTCTATTGCATGATTATCAGAGGACAGGACAACTTGAAAAACCAAAAGGTTTATTGCCAACAAATTTTTGGTAGTTTATTAGTGTGATTGTACCTATAAGAATTTGTTTTTAAAGTATTTTGTCAATTAATTTGTAAAAAATTGTATATATCTGCAAATAATGTATTGCTTCCTCTATGTGACTAAAAAATGTAATATTTGCATTTTAATATATATACTTAAATAAAATTAAATATTTATTCATTTTAAATGTGCATCTTTTGATAGGAAAGTTATTTTAATATACATAAACATTATTTTAAGTAACTTAATAAATTTGGTTTATATCAGACTTAATAATCAATGTATTGCTTTTATCATTTTGTAGTTCTAGTACAATTTTTGGAACAATCCACTTATCATCAATTTTATTTGCCCAAAAATTGACTACACCTTTTTGTTTTGATCCCTTTACTGGCACCTGAAAATGAGCATCAGTTTGTGTTACATAATTATTGCCATCATCAATGTTTATATTTCCTGTCCTGATAGGCTCCCCTAAAAGTTCCACAGCAGCTGGGTTTTTTCTTACTACATTAAGTACTTCCTTTATGGTTTCTGTATTAGCTAAATTGTTGCTAATTTTCCATCTGGTAAGGAGCCCCATAGATACAGTAGCCACCCCTCCGATCGAAGCAATTTTCATCAGAGTTACGGTACTAATTTTCATATTACATTAACTTTTCGTTCGTTTTTGTTTAATTAATATGTACTAATTCAATTCTAGCATCTGATCTGTTATCTATGCATCTGATCGTCTTTACCACAAGAAAATTACCATAGATAATAGATATACGAAAGGTAAATGAAAATTACTGAACAATGAGCTGACATGAGCTGACAATTAACCCATGATTTAATCAAAGGCAATTCATGTTGCAAAGTCCCGCTCTATGGTTCTATAGTGAGTAAGTATATCTATGGTTTCTGTCTTAGACCCCTTTACCTTTACTGTAGTTTACCTTTACTCTACTTTACCTACCCTTTGTATATCTATTATCTACGGCCTTTAACATGCCTTTAACACTGGGCCATGAGTTAGAGGATATATTAGAAAACGAAGATAGTGTGATATGGAGATAGATGAACTAGGTTATCCCATAACGAGAGAAGAGTTCGATGTAGCACTAAAAAACTTAAAAAATATAATAATACAATAAAATATAAAATGGAATACAAGCGGAAATTTTATTTAATTTAGTCACATTTATGAAACGGGGAAAGTCCCGGAGGATTATAAACGGAACGTGGTAGTAACGATACCTAAAGATAAAAGCGCGGATAGGTGCGAGACATTTAGAACAATTAGCTTAACTTCTCATACGTCAAAAACCTTAACTAGAATTGTACAAAGAAAGATGGAAGAAAGGGCGGAAAAACTATTAAGGGAAGATTAATTAGGGTTTAGAAAAAACAGAGGAATGCGACAGGCCATTCTAGCTACCGGAAACAATAGAGAAAACAATAGAAAAGGGAAAGGGTGAGTACATAGGATTTGTAGATTTACAAAAAGCTTTTGACAGTGTTAAATGGGACAAGACGTTAAATATAATTAAAAATGTTGGGATGAGTTACAGAGATAAAAGAGTGATACTTAGTTTGTATAAAGAGCAACAGCCTGCTAGGACTGCAACGTAGAAAAGTAAATTTTAGGAAGGGAGTAGTAGTATGCACAATGCCACCGTTACTTTTTAATCTATACTTTGACGACGTGATCAACATCATTAAACCTAGTCACAACCTAGTACAACTGTAGGGGAAGATATACAGGGGCAAAATATTAGTATGCTTAGATTTGCAGATTATATAGGAGTATTAGCTGCTAGCAAAGAGGAGTTAGAGATAACTTTAATTAAAACGGAAGCGGTATTGACAAAGCAGTATTGTATGAAAATAAATAAAATTAAAATTAAAATACTGATATGGAAGGGAAGAAAACGTAGTGAAAGAGCGAATATAAAGATAGGAGACGAAAAATTAGAAGAAGTGGCCGATTTTAGGTATCTAGGAAGTGAGATAAGTCAGAACGGAAGGAGTACTAGGATATAAATATAAAGCAGAGGATAGCGCAGGCTCGAGTCGTCTTCGATAAAAAGAAGTTACTTCTATGCTCCCTGTATGTTTGGAGCGCGGCGCTGTACTGGTGCGATACATGGACAGTAGGCGTGGCGGAAAAGAAAAGGTTGAAATGTGGTGTTACCGGCAAATGATGAGGATACCGTGGATAGAGAAGGTTAGAAATGAATAGGTATTGTTATGAATAGGAGAAAAGAGGACTCTATAGGAGTTAATAAGAAATAGGCGGGATAGGTTGGTAGAACACCTCAGGCATGACGGTGTAGCCAGAGACATATTAGAGGCAGAAACAGGAGTTAAGAGGAGTAGAGGTAGAATTAAATTAGATTACTGTTCGCAAATAATTAAGGATGTGGGATGTTCTAGTTTTAGGGAATGAATGTCCAACCAGTCTTAGGACTGACGATGATGATGACGTTTTGATATCTATTGTTCTATCTCTGTTATATGTTATTACTACTTGCACAAATTTGCTGTGATTTGCCCGTTTGGCGTTTGCGCGTCTATTCCAGTTAGTATGGAGTAGTATAAATGTATAGAGTTCACTGCTTGTCTATATTTCACTGTTTTAACTATTATCTATGGCTTTAACCATGTTAACCTCTGAAAATACCGCTTTTTGATTTGCATTGTTTTTGTATTTAGTAATAACATTTTTAGAAGAAATATTCCAATATGTTATAATGTCTGGAAAAGAAGTAGTTACTCTGCAATTCGGGCATTATTCCAATTTTGTAGGAGCACATTTGTGGAATTTAAATGATCTAAGTTTTGACTACAGTTCAAATCAACCTTCTAAAATTAATCATGATGTGTTGTATCGAGAAGGTTTAACCAATGATGTATAGTAAAACGTTTTAACACAAAAAAAAATCAATTCAATTGCTACTTAATTAATTTTAAGGGACACACTACTTTTACACCTCGTGCATTACTTGTGGACTTAAAAGGAAGTTTAAAATATTTATCTAAAGATGGATCTCTCTACAGTGAAAGGCCGGCTCCAGAAAAGGTTGATATTCATTGGGATAAGAGCCGTATAGAAATTAAAAAAGATTTTGAACAGTCAGGATCTAAATTTATTCAAGAAATAGAAAAAGGGAATGGCAATAAAGTGTTAAATAAAAAACAAAATTTGGAGCAAACTGTTAATGTTTGGTCTGACTTTTTGTATACAAGATATCATCCAAGAACTGTGAATATCATAAATGAGTATAAACATGAGGATGTCAATAAGGAATTTGATGTATATCCTTTAGGTGTTAATTTATGGAATAATTCAGAATTTTCTGAAGAATTTTCTGATAAAATTAGAAATTATATTGAAGAATGTGATAATTTTCAAGTAAATATGTTTACATATAATTATGTATATAAATAAATCATGTTAATTAACATTTCAGGGTTTTCATGTCATATTAGATGCAGTTGATGCATTTTCTGGTTTATCTACTTCTTGTATAGAGCATGTTCGTGATGAATATGAAAAGAAATCCGTAATGGCAATTCCACTTATACCTTCCTATTATAAAGATTACAATATCACAAGCACAGATCAAAATTACAAGTCAATAACTAAGGACTCTGTTCGAGTTCTAAATATAGCTTTATGCTTTAATGATCTTGCAGAAAATGCTTCAATTTTTGTTCCTCTATGCACTGGATTGACAGGATGGAGACAGCCTGGAGAAAGCATACCTTTCAATAATTTGCATTATGATGTAAGGCCCCAATAATATATTAGTATTAGTTTTATTAATTCGTTTATTTACAGTCTAGACTTTGGTACCATTCAAGTGCAATTTTAGCATCAGCAATAGACACTTTTACTCTAAAACATCGTCTAAGATCTTACAATTTCTCTTTAAATGATCTTTGTGCAGATTTATCATCCTTTGGTCGTCGTGCTGTGGCATCCAGCTTATGTTTGCCGTTTTCTTTTAATAAGGATGCCACATTACTAGAGTGTTTGGACAATTGGGATGGCCCTTTGTCTAAAAGCATCACACCTAATTGCAAAATTGGTAACTTACTTAGGTGACTGACGGGAACAGTACTCAGTTATTTTTTTACTAAAATTTGAAATTTAACACTAAACTGCTATAACATGCCCTCTAAAACTAACGTCATATGTGAAAGATAACGTCGGGAAGGTTGTGTCCATCTTGAATGCAGTTTTCTAACTTTTCGCCGAAAATCGTTCATTACCCGGATTACCACCTTACCATCGATTGAATCCACTTCTCTGATTGCCTGTTTCGGTTCTGCCTTCCTGATAACATACTTTGAATCACTAACATCTTACATAGACACACGAGCAGTGTGTGGGGTGGCACTAATGGCCATTGTTGTTTGGTTCCTTATAATTCCTTTTCTCGAATTTCTGAACAACCGCACTCCCCCCCCCCCATTCTGAGCGAACATACTGTGTGCACTTCTGAATAAGCATTTGAAATATTATAGAAGTCGATTTATTTGAATGAAAAATAATCGATTGCAATTTCTGGAAATTTTGAGTGGTTGCGAAATCATTACCGTTGCTGTTTAAGCTGAGGCCGAGGGAGGAGTGGTTTCGAATTGTAAAGTACACACATTTTCTCTAGCCCCTCTCCCTATATTGACTCATCCACTCTTATCCTCATCCTGCTGCTACATATTGGAAAGAATATACGTGAACGTTTAGAATATACAGTATATGTATAAAAATTGGTTTCATTTGTTTTATTGCTACAATCATACTAATCATGAATTTAATGATCACAATATTAATTATAAAAATTAATAGACATTAAGGAAACATAAATAAATGTCTATGATGCCTAAACATAAATTTCAAGCGATTGATCGAGTGTACCAAGTGGAGTGATTGTTCGATTTATAATATTTCAGTAGAGTGACGATTTTTCGATTGCCGGAATCAATCGATTATGTTCATCTTTGTTGAGTGGCATCCAATGCCCAGGTCAATGACCGGTGGTTTTCTTTTCTACTTCTATAGGCTGACAATAACTACTACCCGCGCGACAAACGTCAGGTTCCCGTCGGTCACATTACATTCATAAATATGGCTTGCTTTTGCAAAACCTTTTTTTTGTGTAGGCTCA